ACTATTTCACCCATTGTTGATTTCATTCTTTGAATTTTGGGTTCGTTTAACATCTAACGTAAGTTTCGTAATTATTTACTCTATACTCAGGAGGCCTAACGCTGCTGGGCATTTCACGCATGACCGTTTCATTACCACTGAAAAAAGGATACTTTTCAGACACATCTGAGCCCTAACGGTACAACTTTTGACGCCATGCACTGATTCGGTGTGATTTTATTCAATCAAAAACAGTATCTTTTGGTTTTATTATCCCTGAATGTCGGCATATAGTGAACCATCTACCAAGTTAGGAAGGCACGTTGTTTACCGAATCTGTAAGTAAAATCTGCACGCGTCACATTTAGATTATAACAGATAAATTATCTTAAGACGCAAATCTAACCAAGCCACACACCTTTCGCAACCAAATTAGAACAAGAAGCAAATTATTCTCCCATCCTAGCATTCATTACCACCATGTTTGAGGAAATGTTGTTAGCGTAGCAGTTTGATCGCCAAAATTGTAATTTCTCAATCGGCACAATACATGAAGCATTTTGAAGAATTGAGTAAACTAATTGTAGTGTGTTTGTTGACCCATCTTTGGTATCCCAGAATAGATTCAATTAGTTATGTGAATAGTATTGTGTAATAGACTTTGTCGGGCATATAAAAAAATTGCCAAGAGTTCGATAATCCAATTTTATGCGAAGATTAAATTTTTAAAACCAGTTTAAGTGAACTGGTCAATATATCACAAAAATCACCCGGATAACAATAGGACATCTGAAGAAACGCAAATTAACTTTTCACAAAATGTGGGTGGAAAAGTTCTTACAGTTAAAGTACAACCGAGAATGTGGTGAAACATGAAGTTCAGAGCGAATTCTGACCTCGACAGCCAACTCATAGAACTGAAAATTGTGCATCGATCGCTTTGTGTATCCCGAGTAGAAGATAACTCAAAATTAAACTGGTTTCAAATTGCGTCGCTCAAGCTTGTATATAACTCGCTCAAACGCGTCAATGGACTGCAACATAATGCAATACTATGTTCGCTTTAGTGAGTAGCATGGTAGCTAATGTACCGTTTTGTTGATAGGGAGCTAGAAAATCATTCGGTTCATCGAACCTCAGGATTCTCCTGAGGATTGCCAAACGACTTGGAAATATTTTAGTTATCTGAATTCTTTCGTTCTGCTTCAGTGATAATTTTAATAGTTTGTATTACGATTTCATGTTATTTTGGCATAGAAAGTCTGTCCCCAACTGAGTCGATCGAGCTTTTTGTACCCACGTTGTGGAAATATACTTTGCTGTACTTCACCACGTTTTAGAATATACACCGATGAACCAGGACACCCGGGAACCAATGTCTAGTTTACAAACTATTGACTTCCGAAGCATTGTCTTTATGGCAAAAGAAGGACCTCTACTTTGTGAATATCCCGATCATCCTACTTTTACTCATTTCACACAAAAAGTTTATGCCTGCCACCTCTTGAACCCAAAAATTGCTAGCAATAAAGGGTCATTTGCATGTCTTAGTTTAAAGCAGTGAAATTTCGGTCGACAGACTGCGATTAACTGAGGTGCCCAGTTACCCGAAAAGCAGCTGAGAAATATGTCACGCACCTGTTGGGTTGTATCTTGAAGGTAACTTTCTTATGATAGTAGAATGAAGCAATGCTATATTGCTATAACTCACAGTGAAATGTGAAACTGAGATAAAGAGTTTGATTGAAGTAGGTTGCGTTTTTGGGTGTCGAGCAAGTTTCATGTTTTCTCGTACTCGGATGCCTATAAGCTCATTAAGATTATAGAAATTCGTTTTTGTAAGTCAGGTTTTGATTCGGTTTATTTTACTGTGAATTATAAGGTATTTGATCATTTAGTGCGGTATCACAAATTACAAATTTAAAATTCGGTCACCTCTGTTTGCTTATTGTGGAAACTTAAATAGATTCTCATCAGACTCAGGTCGATTGCGGAGAAATATTAGGTTGGTATTACCCATCTTGAATCCACAATAACAAAATAAAAATTATTGTCAATTAGTAAAATTTGATAATAATGTTTATTAATGAACCCACATTTCCCCATCCGGCTGCTGAACAACAGCTAATTAACTAATATCCGGTTGATGTCTAGAATCTAGTCTTGTTCTTGTTTTCACCCGGCGACAGAGGTAATCAACAGGATATATCTGAAATTTTCACTGAAATTAAGCTTTGTTTTTCTCTTTAAGTAATCCGTTCATATGCTGATCAGACCAAACAAGGACTGACATTGATTGTGCTAAAATTCTGCGGTATTTACTGATGTATCAGTTAATGGGTTTCAATTTGAGTAAAAACGAATAAATGGTATGGATGTGTGCTTAACATGATGTAAGAAAGCAATTGTAGGTGAGAAACATGTTATTGCAGAATGAAGACTGATGTTCTTCGAGCTTGTCCCCTTCATTTGTACTGCATGCGTTTAAAGCCATCAGCGTGACCCAAAGTTTGATGGGAATCGAATTGCCGCATGATAAGAGGTGGTAGGCCACTCAATATCTACAGTCAGCGAAGTTGTGTGCTGCTAGGCTTGGCTCCAGGTTGCAACCAAGAGCAAGGCAACCCAGGTGATCCATCTTGAACAGCTGTGTCTAGCTTCTTTGAGAAAGTAGTCGCAGACAGCCAGAAGCGATGCTTAAAGAAGTAGCGGTTTTACGCGTAGGAAGCGGTTGTCTTGTAGGAAAAACTGCGAATATTCATAGGAAAATGCGTGACTCTTATCCACCACCAAATAAAGCTATCGTCATTGTCCTGTTGCCCTATGGGCAGCGCTTAGTTGTGCAACGGTTTAGGTAAATCCTCAAATTTAAAGACTCAAGAGGTACTTCAGATGTTTCTTTGTTACTAATGTCCATTTTACTGTGGATTGAAAGAATGTCGAATTATATAAACGTGTGACTAAGGAGGAAACTGATGAATTCCCCAATGTTCCACCCGTACAAAATATCAATACACAATCTGAATGCCTGTAAAACCGCAACGATTAAGCAAAATGACTTCTGATGGTATTCAGGTACGCTTGCACACAAAATGTTAGCCATCGACCGTGTATCTCAGGGATGAGAGTTTCGGCTCGCAGTTCTCAGTTTCACGGTTGGAGTCCTCGTTGGGGGTAGAAAACGTGTTCATTTAAGATGAGTCACAATATGGCTGAAACAACTGCTCAGCGCATTTTGTTTACCCTAAAGCGCAATTAGTACCGATAAATACATAGTATTCTCTTTGTTGTTACCATTAATTGTATTCTCTTGGTTGTTTCATTTTATCTTTCTTATGGTTGATTACTTTTCAAATGTGGGTCGTGAAGCACTGTTCATTGAATGATGACAAAGAAGTTTAAATAACCAAATTGTTTGTATAGATTGGTGATTTAAACTTGTTAAATAATTGAATTTAGCCACTCAGACAAGTTTATAGTTCAACTAGCGAATTCTGGTTAACATTTAATTTTAGAAAGTTTTAAAGTTTAATTTTAATAGGTGATTCAATCCCATGCTAATTGTCTGTCTATTGTTCTTTCTCGATACGCTGGCTGATTTACATTATCTTCTAATTAATTGGTTCTTGGTCTGTTCAAACATTTTGGATACGGGTATATTTCGGGTTAAGCGCCGATACCGATTTGACAACTTATTAAAGTTATATTTATGACCATCCCGACAAACGGTCAACGAAGTCAACAAATAGAAATCACTAATAATAATGTTCACATTTGCACACATTTCCAATTTTATCAGTTCTGGCTGAGTGTGTTTGTTTCAAGTTTTCTCAATACCAGAAGTCTTTTGTGATCTTATTGTTTTCCACTTACTCTATGACATTCTAATATTTTAATTTTTAACTTTCAGGAGCCTTCAACACAAATGAGGCTACGTTTTTTGCAATCATTCTTCTGGTGTAATTTAATAGACTTTGATAGTGTTTAAAATAATACACTAATCTATCAGCAATATAGTAAAATTTGATAAAAGGGTTGGTTGAATGATCCGGAAGATGGGTTCTGTACATGCGTACTCAGGAAGATATGTAATGCGGTTAGTGGAAGACCATCTAGTGTACTTTGGTAATAAAAACACGCCAGTATTTAACCAAACTAAAAAGTAGCCAAACGTTTTGTTAGCCACAGTGAGGCTTCTGATTGTTATTACTATTTAGCTTAATCTTCATTCGTTGATGATTGTCCAAGTGTTTAGCGAATATCACATTTCATTTATAGTTCTATGGACACTCGGTTCTGGATGTATTAGGGCGTGGTGCTTAAGAAGATCTAACTACCAGTCATCAGTTTACAGATTGCCACCTTTTTCCGTGCTGCTTTCTCTGTTCCTCACCGGGTTGTTTGCGTTCTGTTGTTTGAGGTGATTCTGAAACGAACTCCTTTTTAGTTGTTCACTACCAAGTAGGAAGATCGATAACCCCCGTGCCTTTTGCCAGATTGTTTGTGTTTCCGACTCTATAACGATGATGTGTTTCGTTCTGTTTAGCACTGCTGCACACACAATATACTCCTATAGTATGTCGATTCTCTTTGCTCATATTTGAGATCGGTTCAGATTTTCCATGAATCGGTAGTAAGAGTGTGCCGGAAGATCGATGAACCATGTGACGTGTTTTACATAAGTTGTAACTGTGAAATGGTGATTGTAAAATCACCTTGATAAAGATTACCCACGGTAACCGAAACGTCGGCTTATTTTCACCCGTACCGACATCGCTGTGTTTTCATAATTACAACTTACATAAAAGGTAGTAAGATACCTCACATTATTAAATTCAATTTAGTTTAGTTTAGTTTGGTCAACCAACAATTTTACACTTTCACGTACAACTGATTCATCAATTCGGTTCACTGCACATTTTATGGATCTCTCAAGTTATTTAAATGCCATCTAAGATAAGGGATCAGATTGAAAAGAATTCATTTTATGAGCACACATGCACATGTGTTTGATCCAATCAATGAAACGTAAACGTGGCTCTTGTTGTTTTCCTTTTATGCTGTTTCTGCATCAGTGCAACAATGTAAGGATAATGGTACTAACCGACTTGCATGTGATTTGGTAAAAAATGCTATTCCCACGATTGAGATCAATCGCACCAACGAAGCTGGATGTTCGGGTCCGGAGTCATTTTCCGCCGCCTCACATGCAGCCGCAACGGTTGTACCTCCACCGAGTACACAAGACAATCGTCGTGTGCATCCAAGCGTAGACCATCCCGATGTGCAAATTTATCCAAGCGGAGACCAAACTCAGGACGAAACAGTTAAAGCTGAAAACGATTCGGCAGATGAAGAATCCCAGTTTGTGTCCCGATTGGAGTTGGACAACTTTTCCCCAAGTGAGTATGTGTGAACCAACCATCATAGCGTGACAGGGTTAGTTATGCTTAGCGTAATTGGAATGAAATCTAATTAATGCAACGGTTACGATAATGAATCAATTCGAAACCTATTCAAAAACGGTTTCAATGTGAATTCATTTAAATCGGAAAAAAATGTGCAGTATATTTTTCGACACGTTGTACTTCTGTAACATAAGGTAAGTAGAAAGATCGTTGGTTTCAATTGCGGACAACATAACGGCATTTCAGTCTATTGTCATTTATTTTGCTGGAGCTGTGGACAACATTTGTTTTTCAATAATCAGATGAACTGCCTTCTGTTTGAATCGATTTCCTAAAATCATTCCCGTCATTCATTAGTGCATGAAAGAAGTATAAAGACTAAAATACACATGTATAATAGTGTCTGCGCGTTTTTATGAGTATAATTCTTAAAAGACTGTATATCTGCCCATTTACCGAAATTGATTTCTTACCGATCGACTGTTCTAGGTAGTCTATAGGGAGTAATAAAAAATCGAGCGACAGTTTAAGCTTTATTTTTTGCAAAAAGCGAAGGATTGGTGCGATGAATATAACATACAGAAAACTGTACTGTGAATGCTTGTGTTGCCCAGCCGAGACAAACGTAAATTTGCAAATCATTAATTAAGAAAGCAATAGAAAGCTAATTGGTGGACAGCTGCATTTGAGGCACAGCTGCGTGTTCCTACCATCACAGTCGGAACAAAACTACTCGGTGTTTGTTTATATAACGAAAATCTGTTTACTAAGTAAATAAAAAAACAACGACAATAGTATTTAACTCGTAGTATAAAGGTGATAAAAAAGGAATCACTTATGTTTGAGACTGCTTGCTACAAGCTTTTCAACCTGAAAATACCCTAGACAAAAAGCAACTGAGAATTAAATGTGAAAGACCAACAGTTCAGCTTTATCACAACTATCATGAGCTGACAACTGATGCTAATTCTCCCATCACTGTTATACTGATAGTAGTAATGGTAATGGCACAAAATTAGAATGGTTTACTGCTGAGGTATAAAAGCGCAGTCAAAGAGTAAAATGCATGCCTATGCATACGTTTTACCCTTTGATCGGTGACTATAGAACCAAGGATTGTCCAGATGTTTAGTTTGTTCTACGTAATCTGTTCATTTCAGTTAACAGATATCAGAGAATTCTTGTGATTAACAGCCTGGAACGTGATTGATACTAATCTCGCTTTGCTCTTCATTTTTACGTCCCACTAGTAGTTGGTCTCACTCAGGTATTCCTCCAAATGAAACAAAACTGTCACGGTAAACAGTGCCATGCGATGTAATCAATATCGCACGAACTCCAGTTGTACTGAGATTAACTATTATCTATCACTATTATTTCTCACTGAAGTACAATCCGATAGACAATGCGCAAAATGTGGTACGAAAGTCAGACGGCCTTTGACAGAATTCGGTTAAAAGTGTATTGTTGTAAAGTCTTCTTCTGCAGTCCGCAAAGTGAATTGAAGGAAAATGCCAAAACAATCAAATAATAATACAGTTTTTTATACATATGTACATTTCGATCTCCAGCTTGTGAACAACTATAGTGCCAGCGCGACAACGATAATTATCCTGAGAATTTGGAACAAATTTGAACAGCCAAAACAAACTTTATTTACCCTGAGCTATTGCAATAAAGTAGAAAGATGAAACCGTAAAGCTTGAGATAGCATTTTAGAGCAATACATAGGTTTGGAGGTCCAGAGTTACACATGCCTGCAATCTTCTGATGTGGCTAATTTAGTCGGGCATTTTATTCAAATAAGAAGGATAAGCAAATTACAACTTATATAAAACATATCTCATGGCGCATCGATTTTTCGGTACACTCCGAACTTTGTTCAGATCTGACACTTTGAATATAATCAAATCATAGTTATATATATTTATGGATTGCATTTGTGAATTATTTTCTATTTTGCTGTTTTCTTTTTTTGTCAGATTCGACGACATTTTACGTATTTGTGATCCTTCAGGAATCTGCACAATAACGTATGCACAAAACAAAAACATCGCATGATAAATGAATAAATAATTCAAAATATTAGTTAGTTCATTAACTCATTGTTTCATGTGGTAGATACGAGAAATATCGGAAATGGTTTTTGCTTCGCTTCGACGAGCGTGATTTAGAGAATTCATAGCGTGTTTGCGTTTATATTCACAGGCCGAGGTGGGTTAAATATATTTGCATTGTGTTGAAAACGGCTGGCACAAGTCGAATCGCTCTCTACTTCCATCTATTCTTGGTCCAACGTATAAAATTGTTCGTTCTGCGATTTTATCGAATCAATCAATAACTGAGATCTCAGTAGAAATTGCGGATATTTTACAGAATGCATTGCCTAAAAAGGTTGACTGTTGTTCACAGTAGAAACGCTATATAATATACATGTATATTTCACACTTGTCTGAGGACGGACTGTGTGCTAAGCAAATCATGGTACAATATTCTTCATAAAAAAGAAAAAACGCTCCATAATTGGCTTGTGGGCTGAATACTGTCAGGTTGACCAGGCCAAGGCCGGTGAATTTTCTTGAGGTATCCACCACCGGAGCCTTCGGTTAGCCAAAGCCTGACCCGTAAGACAGCGGGGCGGTGTGTGAAAACTGTTATCCATTGAGGTGTCCAGTTCATCGGATCATACGCTGTTTGGACGGGGTCAAACGTCCAAGGCGCCCAACAGCTCGATGCCCAATCGAGCCGGTGAACACTGACAGTAGAAACGATGACGAAGTTTTACTCGGAAAATATGTTGATTTATTACTATGAAGAATGACTGGTGGCCCGACGTTCTATTTCCCGTCTGTTGAACCTCCTGTTCTATCTTCCAATCAATAGACCACAGAATCATTGGCAAGAACAATGTATTTAACTTATGTTGATGCGATTACGTTTTTCTCGGTATTTTGTTGTTATAATTCACAATGTGCAATCATCTAGCGATCTCATACACCTAAATTCCAAAGGCCAAACGGTCTATTGGTACTGAACCTGTTGTTGATAAATGTCACATAACACAGATAGGGTTTTTCCATTAAATACTAGTCTATTTTCTTCATTTTTGGTAGATCTCTCTGCTCTGGGTGGAGGAAGACGTGGCAGTGGTAAGTTTTTCCGAATTGTAAAGGGGGTTTTAGGCTCATATATTTTGTCATTTTTCTAGAGATGTTAAACAATAAAGATAGTGTTTAGGTGTGATGGAGTGAGAGTGTGTGGTGGTGTAAAGAAAAACAACTCTGACTTTCCCTTTCATCCGCATGTAAGTCATTTGGATATGAACTACTTACTTATTTCATTCGAGCTGCATTGTGCAAATCCCTTTTGATTTTTGTGTTAAAAGTTATCTTCTCTAGGGAAAGTAAAGCACAGACTTCGTTTCTGTTCTGTACGCTCTACTGTGAATCGTTTGGTGAAATTCACTGTGCGATTTAGTAAACTAACAGCTCCTTCAAGTTCCTCCTTCAGAGTTTAATATTCCGAGCGCTTTATAGCAGGCTAAGCGTTTGTGCGCGGAAAATCAGGTTAGTTCTATGTCCGTTCAAAGACCGACCGCCCATACTTTAAGCCTAAATCAAATTAAAGATAACAAGCATTCGTCCTACCGATATTGTTCCTGTCTATTAGTTTAAAATCAAGTAATTTCTATATTGAATTCAAAGATAATTGTGCCTTGCATTAAAAACAACCGATCGAGCCCCATTTCGGATCCAATTATTAAAAAGCATGCTGGAAAAGATTATTCAATGTGCACTTGATAGGAATAGTCAAAGTCCAGTTAGAGGTTACGGGTTTTTCCTGTTGGTTTTATCACACAGCGATGTTCTTTAGGGTTGCTTTCTCTCTTTTCCTTAGAACTCTTCAATCACTATTGAAAATGTAGTACATCTTTACGCAAACTATCTTTACTCGCGTATAAAAATCCAAATGAATTGGAAGATTTATTGCTTAGTGTTCTCAATTTGAAACCAGCGAATACTATTTTGATATTTGGTTGATCTTTTCACGCTTTCTTCGTCTGGAAGAGGTGATATAAAACACGGATAAATTCTCTGCATCTCTTCCAAAGCATCTCGACTTATTTTGACACGAATGCAGAACTCTAGAAGTTTGTTTTTCACTGTGGTTGGCATCTCAGCGACGTCTGACTGTATGTGGGGGGATAAATTTATGCGGCAGTACTCGAGTCAGTCCCAATATCTGGTGTAGAAGTGTACATTATGTATTAAAGATATACAGATTATTCCTATCTTCGTATCTGACATATTAACGTAAATCATTGAATGATTTACAGAAAATGTTCTTGTTTTTACGAACAGCACATCACTTACTCGTTATGGTAAATTAGATTAAATGTAATTCGTAAACCTGTGACCGTAAAATAACTTCTCCGCTGTTAAATCCCTGTCCTTACGTTTTGGCAAAACAGAGGATAGCTAACATGATTAGCAAAAGCAACTGGTGCTTAATGTTGTTATAGGTGTCACCTTTGACATGGAGTATGACCCAATGGAGCTGCAGCAAAATGATTCTTATATCGATGTAATTGACGGCTTGATACCATAATGTCAAGATCGTACAAACCGCAGACTGTAAAAGGTCTTTGATGGGGCTTTTTCAAAACTACGAAATATAATTTCATCATGCAGCTGCCCTGATCCAATAAATTGCAAGTGTAAAGGTATAATCCATGTTACGTTATAGTAGGAGAAAGATTAAGGTGAATCTTTCCTGAGAAGATTTGGTTCCAATATGAACCCTCATCAATATAATTTCCGTGAATATTGAAAGCAAGCCACCAAACAGCGAAGGCAGACATGCATATGTATGGAGTATGGACATAGCCGAATGAAGATAGTAAGTGGGATTGCAATATATCGGTATGGGTAAGAGTATTAGTGTTCACAGTTTGTGTAGAAAATTATGTGTAGATAATTTGAATATTCAATAAATGCAATGGAAGAAGTCAATCGATGACCAACATTCATCATCTGGTAAAATGTCATTTTAAAAGAAAAATGTGCTAATCTGCCCGAATATATTTCATGGGCTCATTTCAGTGACTCATACTCATACGACCGCCAATCGTGATTAAGCTCTGTTACCAAAGGCCTTAAGTAGCTACATGTGGTAGTGCTGTCATATTCGACAGGTTTATAGATCCCACCGGAAAGATTAGGATAAGTAAATCAGTCAGGAATTTGGAAGCTCAATTGCTGTCAACCATTTGACACTACGCATCATTAATAGTGGCGATTGTAAGAGTTTTAACAGCACTTCGTTCCATTTTATTCAAAAATTGTCGCTCAAAATTTCTAATATTGGATTAGCAAAGTGGGGTAAACAGATGGAAAAATAATGAGGAGTTTTGTGGCCCCAACTCCTGAGGAGGACAACTTTGCCCAACAAGATTGGATCGCAATTCCTTTTCTTTGGACGTTAATGTGCACGACACATACAGAGCTTCAGATTTTTCATAAATGGTTGTACGAGTGGTTATATTACGCCAACTATGATGTGTTTGTTTGAGTTAGTGGAAAGAAGATAGGTGAAAATGCAACGGGTGGGGGTTATCCAAAAGTATTTTGTGGGTGACTTCGATGCGGGTTTCACTGTATCCGTCAATGAACTCAGGCCAATTCCGCAGATTGAATGAGAACAAACACTACTGATAATCACAAGACCACACCATAGAATTAAAAGCTTTTTTCACCAGTCCAGCAAATATTATAGGAGAACAATAAAGAAGGACTGTAAGGACAAATGGAAAGCCGATTGGTTGTTTGATGTGAAACTGCCTGGGTATGAGTCTCAAATCGCAATTACCATAGGTTATCAATACACTACAGGGTGTGCGAATGTTAGCGATAATGGTAATCCATAAGTGAGTATTAAATTGAACTCTACAGAGACAACAAGAGAAGGTTGCCTTGAACGTTTAGACTGTTCTCGGGAAGCCATGTTCTTGAAAAACAAGCACATTCCTCGAACATTAGGATGGATTTGATGAACGTCTAGAGTGAGATCAAAAGCGCTTAACATTCAACATATTCTGCCGAAATCTATTGAGACTAACGGCATTACATATAGGCTGGTATAAAACGACATGCTATAAATAGTTACAACCCAGAATAGGAGAGATGCAAGAAAGCCACTTATATAAGAATATATAAGAATTGCACCTTGGAGTTCACAAAGTATTTGGAAGAAAGCATGTCTATCTAGGCACATAGTACTCTCGGTGAAATAGTCATATACCTATACGAGCAGCGTTTTGGGAAGCCAAATGCTTCTAAGTTTCTGAAGCGCTGATAGGGTGGATGAGAAGGCTACTGCGTCAAACGTGTATCTGTTAGGTCGGCAAGTGAATTGAGGGGGTCCGTGAGAAATCGAAATGTTAAAGTGAGCTTGGGCAGCCTTGGAATACATTTTCGGAGCAGGAGAAGTTCAGACTTGGGGCTGAAATGTTTTGTGATTATTACGGAGTTATCGGTTTCTGGAATAGAAAAAAATAATGTTAGACTTTCAGGAGCTTGGAATAGACTAGGCTTAGGAACTGGCTCACATTAAGTGTCATTACCTGAGTCAAAGGATCATCTCCTTAGTTCAGAAGTGCCAAAGTAATCCAATAGGGGTCTAGAGCAGAGAAAGTTTCGATGTGGTTTAAAATTATATAAATACCTTCCGTGATTGAGCGGTTAATGTGCGGTAAATTCTCAGGATCAACAATAGTGTGTGTTGTCGAGTGAATAAAGACGGCATTCAGTTTATCAATGTTTGAGGAAAGGACTAGGTGTTCAGCCTTTTGTTCACACAAAAGCTCGATGTTTGTCCCCCAAATCTAGCGTTCTCTGTTTCAAGGAACGGTTCATCAACTGAGGCAACCAGACATCATAAATTATTTTGATTAAGTGTATTTGTACGTTGTCATTATCTTAATTAATATATTTACGCCTATTCGGCCTTCTTAAAAATGGATCTTAACCTTCTTTTGACTCAAAAGTGCGTAAAAGTCAAACATCAGCATTTATATCACTGATAAAGAGAATAAAATAGAGGAAGAAGGAAGAATAAACACAAGAGAACCATAAAACAACTCAAAGACAGCTGTGTTTTGGTGGCAAGTAACACAAATTGAAAGGTATTAGGTATGACGGCGCAAAGAACTTATAGAAAGACTGTGAATATACCGCAGTATAAGTGACAATAGACGGTAATTACAATTTGAAACAGGAGACTTGTGTGAGTGCGAAATGTTTGTGATGGTAGGACTGAAATGCAGTTGGTTCTCGTGGGATAGTGACAAACAGATGCAATTAAATGATACTGTAATAAATGTAATCGCGGTTTTCCACTGAAACAAGTGATCAACATTCATAGATTACACCGTTTGGGAATGTGTTATGCATGTCATAAAGCACATTGTGACGGTGTGCGATGTCTACCGAGGAAGGTGATGGACAGATCAATGTTGAAAGTGGTCAAATCATGACCTGACAAAAGGGTATGAAAATGCTGATCAGGAAACTTGCTCACGTAGGTGACTTTAAGTATTAGGTTCGTGTGTTCAGGTGGAAACCCGTGCGCAGTGACGGTGCAAAGTCCTGCAGGTCACTGTCAGGCAGTATGTGGGGGCGAGGGATATAATTTGGCAGTTTCGGACGTATGTTTAGTGAGGCAATTCAATTGGCTAGTTGTTCGGAAAGGTAGCACATAAAGGTTGAAGTTAAAGGAGTGCACATATCAGTCTTAATTAATTGGAAGTGAAAGTAAAAAGTAATAGTGTGAGTGTAAACTTCACCAACATCTCAAGGTTTAGGCATTGAAGATTTTTGGCGAATATCGCAAATGAACCAATTCAGTTCAAAATGACGACAAACATAATATTTATGTTGATTTGATGTAGCATAGTAGGAAGAATAAGCCTTATGTTGTGATACGTTCCGTGTAGAGTACAGCAAAAGCAATTCACAGTGAAGTGTGTCATTTTGGGGATGCAATGGTCATGAAGATGTGAACTAACTCAAATAAAGACCGTGTTCAAATATTTTCACGCGATCTGAATGTCTGTTCCACTCAACGACTGCACATACGTGCAAGTGTGTCGAAGTAAACGATCAGAATGAGATGGGTCATTGCACGCGTGATCAAGCGGTTTTGTGGCTGGANGGAAATCGCCCAATCAAATATGACAATAGAAAAACCATTAGTAGCGGGGAGGGTACCGAGAAAGTAATTGGGAATGTGTGTGGAATACGTCGTTTCGCGGAAATTTAAGTAAAATGAGAAGGACAGAAATGCGCGCTAATTGGACAAAGGTGTGTGAGTCCAACTCGAACAAAAAGGATTTTTCTGTGTAGGGCCAGTTGCATGATCGACGGGGTCAGCATAAATAGTGTACAATGGTACGAATATCGTCATCCAAAAGATTAGAATTATTGTGAAGTGATATTTGAAAGTAAGAGATCGACCATGATATAAAAGAACATAAAGCCAGCTAGGATATGAGAAGTGAAGATGAAATACGAAAAGTAGACATTCACACGTTTTGTATTTTCTGTGAATAACAATGAGAAGTATGGGATGCAGTTTTATTTCAAGTTTTGTTTATTCTTTTGAGCTGAGCAAAAATTTGCCTTTGGAGAAGAAATACTTTTCTTGATCGACGATGGAGCATTTTGTTTTAAACGAATAAGATTCGTTGCAATGAATTTCTGTGATATGATTGACGAGAAGAACTGAACATTTTTTGTTTTGTCACGACTCGTGAATAAGGCGTCATTTTGCATCTCTGTCGGAACTCTTATGGTGAGCCCCCGGGTTGGGTATTGAAGCCTTCGCGGGACAAAAAGCTGTCCACGGTGATAATTCTCAACCAGCTGTTCAGTGCTGTTTGTTGGTCATCCTATATACTTCCTTCACGGGTAAATGTATTACACATGCGGGAACTTAGCAAAAGCAAGACAAACAATCATGGGTACCTGTAAACAATCGAATAGGTTGAGCCAAAATGATATCCTAAACTAAGTGTTGCGCTCGATTTGTCAATTTCAGTTGCCGCGGAAAGCTATAATCCGGAGGATGATAATACAGAACTTGTGGTTCATCCGAAATCACCCGAACAACGCCAGCGTCTACACCAAGCGCTAAAAGACATATTGATTTTCCAATCACTGGATGAGGTGAGTGTACTGCTCTTTAATCTGTCAGCCTGAAGTGGTTCGACTGCACTTCACATTGTTCGGTTTGTCATTTTTCATGAACAATGATTGAAATAGTAATCTCACCCACCGACCAACCAAATTACCGACTGACTAGGGAATATACGTTTTCAGAATTTCTTTATTCAAAGAAATGTTTCAGGGCTATTTAAATTTCTTTGATTATTTGTCGTGCTTGGAAGTATCAAAAGGCTTCGATTTTTCTTCCATTGAAAATACATTATTTTTGTTTATTGTCCTTTACAAAGTGTGATTAGTTTTAAAGTGTACACCTCACATTTGCACGTATTTGCTTTCTAACTTATTGCTATCACATTGGTTTTAACGTGTGATTTGGGCTCATTGCTTTTGAAATCTGAAGCATTGCTTACGGTTTGAAAATAACATCAATCTTACCCCACTGGATATAGCAGGGTGCCAACGTAAACCCTAATTGAAGGGTAAATATGTGAAATAATGTTTTTGAGATATGGTTGAAGATGTAAATCGGGATGTTGAAGATTGAGATTTTTCGACGTGAATCTACATAACCAAGTACGTTCATCTATTCTAAAATTCCTATAGTTAACGTATTTGTATTCATTTCCTCATATTGGTCAGCTAGAAATCCACGGTAAATTTTCGCTTTGATAGAGAAACATCTGGCATGAAATTGGCTGCAAAGCATTTTAGTATTGTGACTATTCTATTTAGAATTTGTTGTTATTGATTAGGCATGTGTTCCTGATATTGGAAAACTGCACACATTTGATCTGTGAGTAAATTTGCATGATAGCTTGAGTTTCAGTTTGATTAAAGATGGGTATTCCAGATCAAAACCAGGTAGCAGTAATAGAAAACGGTGTTATGTCTCACTTTAGTTTCTACCTCTGGATGAGCACTGAACATGAATTTAGATTAACATCACCAAGTCGATTTCTTTTCTTACTCAAGGCAGTTGTTTTGGACACATTTGTGAAATAATTATTCACAGATAAAGGAACTAGATGGATGTGTCTCACACGTGTTCACCCAGAGTTAGTTGTTTTTTCATTGCAAATTCCGAATGAGGATAGTAGCATACGCGTTGTTTTTATTCACTTTCTATAGAGTGTGCAGTGTGTAGAAACGTGTGATAATGTTTTAGTTTTAGTTTTAGTTGCTACTATTCCCAAAGAAAGCTTACCACCTCATTAACATGCGCTCAACAAAGTTATGCTCACGACTGTACCCCAGGCAACACGGGGTACCACAGTGATTATTTGTCAAGCGTGAGCGTTTATGCAATTAATGCAATCGAACATAGACTTCAATTCTGTTTTTTCCCTTTTAGTCTAGGGAGAACTCGCATGGATAATCGGGATAAGAATACCTACAATGTGTTGGAGACATGAGAGACTTAAAAGTATAGTTTATCTCGCAAATATCGGTTATGTATTTTTTAATTTACTTTGTATTGTTAGTGAAATACTAAATGAAAAGTATCCATTTTTATGAGGTTGCGCGAGTACTAGATTTTGAAAAGTCAGGTACAGTGATTATTGTTCCATAGTAGAATCCTCCATTGAATTTACCCTGTTTCTGAAAGTGATTAGAGGGTAACAAGCTAAACAATTCGATGGGTTACATACTAAACTCTTTTCTAGATTGGCTATTGTGAATGTCTTATAGAAGTAATGCATGAAAATATTTTAATTTAAATATAGTTGAATTGTTCTACTAAAATAATTGATTCAATCAATATTCTATTCAGACTAGTTCATCTTTAAGTTCATTTTTTCTTCTGTGTAAGCCGTGGAGCTGCTAGGAGATGAAAGTCTACATGAGTTGTACAGGTTGCTTTTGTCTGCAACGCAATGTAGTTCGCAGTGCTTTAAAATGCACTGTGCTACTGAACTTGTTAGCCTCAGTAGCTCAGTAGCTCATTTTAAAATGAAAGATTTTATTCTTGTCGGTGCACATAGTCTGCTGATTTGTTTGTAGTTTCGCATTTACTTCTTTGCCCAAGTTGTGCTAGGGCAGCTTGGAAGATATTGCTAATCGCCAGGAGCCCATGTTATCATCCTGTTATAAACCATCTGCATTCTTATTCTTGTGATCAACTGTGCTGAAAATGGCAAGGTCTTGTATTTGACACGATGATTTTATTTGAGTTCTAGCAAACTGTTTCAAGGAAATATTGGTCTAATAATTCAAAGGAATCAGATGAGTGACGAGAATGAATGATCTTACAAAAAATAATTATTCAATGTGAATGGAATGAGCCTTAAAGCGACTACTTGTCTTACTTAGTGGAAATATTATTAGATCACCTATGAATATCAGCTGACATGCAACGTATGAGAAAACCACTGAACCTTTGGTTTTGATAACATTTAGGGTGATGTGGTTGTTCCAACAGTTACTTAGTTTTACATTTCTACAGAGAAAATGTTCCGATCGTTCGGCTTTTTCCGTTTTCTCAATTGTTAAATTGAGATTAAAATAAACTGCGGGTTAGCAAAACAAGTATCTCTCAAATGTTTAGATAGTTCCACATTGGGAACAACAATATGTGGCAAGCAGGTTCGTTTCCAGTAACACATAATGATACTGATACACAATATAAAACATGATTAACCACCCAATAAATGAAAATGCTGGTTCTGATCTTGCTCCAAAAGTGTGTGTGTGTGGGTGAAACAAATCACACTATCCAATGTTCAACGGGCTGCACACGTGTCGAGGAAGATGAAACGACCTAGGCTTATTTAGTGCTTATAGAAATTTATCCTGGACACGCAAAAAGTACTGACAATTCGAATGTTGACCTCTTTGACCGCTGCTAGTGCGTGATGCTTCACTGCTCTTGATTGCCTGTTTGATTCAATAAGTTGTAAACATACCATAATCGTAATCGCAATAATGGCACCTTTGTCAACCCAATCAAAGTGGTGTTTACGAACTAGACCGTGAAAGCACCTGGTAGTGCGATTAATGTACTCAGTCTTACAGCAACAGGTGAATGAGTACACGTGGAAAGGGGATTTTAGAATCAGTCGAAAACACAACCGATTTGAATATGACCGGCACTTTTAGCTGCGCAGCATAAAATATTCTACTTACGGCAGCTGATACTTCCTTATGAATAGTTGCTGCCTCATCCGAACGGTAAATGAACTTATACAGACTTTTCCCTGGCTACTATGTCCTTTTGTCTCTCCTCATACCCTTGCACTGTATTATCAATGAACCACTCCAGGTTGTTGTTTGGTTCAAAAACGCTCCATAGATAACACTTTCTTCTTTGTTTATCGTCTTTGCCTTATTAACCTGGCACTGTGATGAATTTCTCTTCCCTCGACGAGGTACAAATCTGTCGAAATGAATTTATTGCTGGTTCCGCTTTGCTTTCACGTGTAGAAATAAGTTAGAGTTAACACTCAGGCGGTTTATGAATACGCCTAGATACGGTAAACCATTGTTCTTTTCTTTTTCCAGGGTAAACTTTACGTTTGGGTGGACCGTGTTGAAGTCCTCTAGCAACCGATTTTTGTCCATATTTGCATCCATCACACATGATACATCATCAACCTATCGCTCGTTAAGGGTGCACCACCTGACTGAGAATTCAAGATGACTGTTACCAAGTTTTGCCATAGAAGTTTCGCAACTAATGGCCCTGAAGGTGGATCCGTTGCAAATCTATAATCTAACGGCATATTTTACCACTGAACGAAAATAATGCTTTGCGTGCCTTCAAACAGTAACTGGCAGAGATCAGCAAAGTTCGCTTCACTGTATTTCTTTGTACGATAATGATGATGATGGCTGCAGCTCGGCGAACACACCAACACCAACATCCGCATCCTGAGGTACAATCATTTCACGTTATTTCCAGTAACTGCTGCAACTCATCCAACGGAATTGGCACATTCGCGTTGTAAACATAATCAATCGTTTCACTAACTGATACGTTTTCTGACAATGTGGTGACGTTAACCCATAGCATTTATCAATCCTCGAGGTTGAGGTCCATCAAAATTGATACAAATGAAATATTCTTCTAGGCATTGAGACTCTTGCTGATTCTAGTAGACTGCGTAAAACAGGGAGTGTGAAATATCTAAAACCAGTCTCATGGGAACATACTGCTTGTGTGACTACGTTCGTCCAGAAACTTTAATAATTGCTGCACTTTGCGGTGATATCCAATCAAACATTATCGTATCGATTCGTTAATTTTGCTTCTGCTATCATTATTTCGTGGAATAATCCTATCTTTTTCAGTTCGGGTCTTTTAAGACTTGTTCCATATATATATATATATATGCATATATATATAATATTGGCTTGTAGATAAGCATAGTGCCAATGCCACAATAACAATAACAATAACAATGATAGGGAGCAGGTGAATTGGGATACAGAATAAAGTGGAAAAATGGAGAAACAGTTAGACAAACACGGGAGAATTGTAGATAGCTGGGATAACAAAATGTTTGTGTGTTCCATATTGCCTTCACCTTATCTGTGTACGTAATACTAACCATCCCCATACATTACCTGGCCTTAAGAGTATCTCCGTTGGTTTGCAATTTATTGAGACGCTTCCAGCGCCTCATCCTCCATAGTTCTTTTGTTTTTGGTCCACTGTGATAATATGGGTAACAATAGTTTATGATTGTGGATTTCAGTTTATCCAGTTTCTGAGAGGAAGCGGGCATCATTCCAGATAGCACAGGCATGCCAACTAGGATTGTAATTTCCCACTCCTTTTCTTTTATATTATTAATCATATTTCATGTTACGTATTGACATGATAACGATTAACTGGAAATAAACTTTGCCACTTTGGGTTGTCCTCAATTATATCGAAAAGTGTACACTATTTATATGCGTGATTTGTTTTTTTATTGCTTCCTACTTAATCTCGTAATCTCTTCAAAATAATCTATCGAGGGAAAATTGTTTTAACCCACTGTGTTGTCCAATCTCTCAATTAAATTCTAGTTGTCTTTTGAAATGGATAGTGTTTCTACTACTAAATCAAAAGCTCAGTCTTCATACTCGATCTCGTTTTATCTAGTCCACGTGTGCACTCATTAAATACCATTACTTATAATTAATTGTTTTGTAAAGTATACTGAAGGATAATTCTCTCTTGCTTAGCTGGGATTTGTTCCACTTGTGCATTGACAACTTTAACAATAGAGCAGACTTGGAAACGGTTTCAAGTTCTTCGTGAAAGTTGACTAAAAAACCTAGACCTGATATTCCCTTGTTTTTCTCTCAACAAAGGCACAAAAAACGAAAGTTTTGGATGCAATGCAAGAAATGAAAGTGATTGCCGATCAAACCGTAATCAGACAGGGTGAAGACGGAAATTACTTTTATGTGGTCGAAACGTGAGTACTTTTCCCACCAACATTGTAAAATAAACGTTTGTGCAATTTCTTGATGATCCACTGAATCATTCATGTTTCTATTGAGAGGAGTCAGTCAAAAACCTTTTGATTCCCGGTTAGAAGAGCTTGCGAGAAACAACGGATTTCTAGACACAAGCATGGATAAGTTGAGCAATGGAGAAGGGAGCAAATTGTCATAAGTAGAATAGACAAGATGAAGATAAACTAGATTCACATTGAAAATGATTAGATTGATAAGCGCCCCTGTTTTTTTGTCTCCAGATTAGCAACACGAATAAACAAATGAGGAAGTGAAAGTATTGACCAAGGTTAGGTTCACCTGGCGAAAAAATTACTGATTTTATCAAGTCGAGTATGTTAGGCACATAAAACGAGTGTGTCGAAACAGAAAATCTGGCACAAGAGTTTTATTTAAACTGATGACATTTCCGCCTAGTTTCATAAAGACAGATGAGAGAGTGGTAAGTATTTCTGTTGACCCTAAATCATACGGTTTTCGAGGGTGCTTAGCTTGACGATGTTTGATAAACGCAACCTGTGGTCATTTCCGGTGTTGACCATTCTAAATAATCCAGATCCTGTTGACCTAAAGTGATGACCGTGTTTCGTGCGAGATTTTTCATCCGAACTTGTGCTGAAATCTGCGTTTGTTGATAAGATTATTCACTGCCGTTTACCGCTTCATATAATAGTTTTCGGAGTAAGAAAACCAAAGATTGATATAAATTAACCAATTTAAAATCATTTTTGATGATTTCTTTTCCTGAAATTGTTATTAATTAGGTTCTAGTGAGCTGGAAATCGGTTTGTATCTGGAGAGAAAGATTGATGTTGTTCACACAAAGAAATGCACAAATGCCCTAGTTTTTATCGCCGATTCTGTGCTAGTGTTTCCATTGTAAACCTTTTACTTGTGTGTTACAAATTGGATCAGATTGTTTCTTTCAAAATCAAATAACTGTTATCTAGTGGCCAATTTGATGTCTTCGTCGATGGGATTCATGTGGGTTCCTACAATGGATTCGGCTCTTTCGGCGAGCTTGCACTGATGTATAACACTCCTCGGGCAGCAACCATTGTGTGTACCAAACCAGGTATACTGTGGACCGTTGATCGCCTAACATTCCGCCGCATTGTTCTTCGGCAAGCTTTTGAAAAGAGACAGATGTATGAAAACTGGCTTAATTCGGTTCCTTTGCTAAAGAATTTGAGCTCATACGAGCGTACCAATCTGGCAGATGCGCTTGTCAGCCGAAGCTACGGTGACGGAGATTGGATTATTGAGCAAGGTCAACGTGGATCGGAGATGTATTTTATTGAAGAAGGAAGCGTGGCAATCATAGCTAAAAACACAGTAAGCTTTAAAAATCCTGTTTGTCGGAAAAATTCTTTGCTCTATTGGAATTTGTTGGTGACTGCGAACTGAGAAAGAGAAATATTTGTAAGTATAAAAATTTCCAAGTCAAACAAACGCTTATGGACGATGGATTACATCATACAAAATTCATATTAAATGAAGGATAGACCTATGTCCAATGGAAAGAATAAATATCAGGTTTTAATCCACAGAGCTAAAGATGAAGTACTTGAAAGTTTGATAAAAGGGTTCATAGGCGCCATTCAGTAATACCACAACAAACAGTAGCGAACAAAGCTTGTTTTCTTTAGTTTCTTCCTCGGGCTAATATAACTGTATAGAGGGTTCATAATTGTCAAATCAGTGTACTGGTCTGATCTGTAGAATATTTTTGGCTGATTATTATATTGGGATAAATGATGTGGAAATAAAGGGGCACAGTTCTTCACTGTCCTTATTGTGTGGTTTAGAAAGGTTTCAATGTCAGCTTCAGTTTGAACAACCATTAACCATTCACTGCCATACGCCGGTTTTGGTAGCTGTCGTTTGGCTTCCCATTTGTATGAACAGTAGAAGAAAGGAAAGAAAGTTAAAAGTAGCGTCGAATAGGAAATGCAAAATTTCAGTGGACCAAGGTTGCAAAACATTGAGATGCGTGAACGCCACTGTTTACGACACCCAGCCATATCACTCAGTGTCTCTAACCACCGGTTACGATCATCCCGAGGTCCCCATCCAGGGGGCAAAACAGGACTTATGTGACCGAGTCTCTTGGTTGAGGTTTTCATATTCTCATGTCGGGTCTTGACTTTATTTCACTCTTAGCCTCACTCGGCGAAACCGCTTGCCATGGCAACCTATTTGGTGACATGCGTTACACACGTCCCAACCAACCTAATCTGTGTAGGTCAACTACGTTCTCCAGTGGACAACAGAGATTACCTAAAACTCCACGCTTAACCTCAGCATAGCTGGTCCGGTTGCCCCACCAGGTTCGTGCAATGCCACATAGACTGCAGTGTTCGAACACCGACTGCAGCCAATGCTCGACCCTTTACCGACAGCCGGATTTCGCGACGGTGCCACATATATCGCAGATTGGGAAATACCACTAGAACCTTCCGTAAACAAGCTGACACTTCATCCATGATGCATTCACCGGGTGAGATGTAGCTACCCAAATAAAAAAACTTATCCACTCACTCTGTTACTTCCCTAATTAGAGTGAGCCTGGGTGCTGAACCAAGCCAGTCTTGTAGCAACATTTTACACTTTAACGGTGAAAAAGGATGCCGAACATAGCTACGGTGGCACTCAAGCTCTCCAGGTCTAACTAGATCTAAAACCACCATGGTTCTCAGGCGTGCACTCTTCAAGTGCGGCTGAAAATCGACGGAGTATGATGCCAGCCAGAAGTTTAGAAAGGTTAATGGTTGATGGATCGAGTGGGCTGTTCCATTTATCTTTTTTTCTGTGCCCGAACTCAACCAGGCCGGCCTGTGCACCTCAGTTCTTTAGACTGAGTGCCGGATCGTTCTCCTTACATAACTTGCCCAACATGGGAGAAGAAAGTGGCAGCATTGCACAATTGCGATGGTCATTTCTAATTGGCCTACAGAGTTTATGGAGCAAGGAGAACTAGTTCAGAAGAATGTGTATATCAGAAACAGGATAATATGAAGCAAACCTTATTTGGCAAATTTTATCCGGAACACTTTGATCTGAAGGACTTGGCAGGAAGGCCTCCAGGCACCTAATTCACAACAATAAAAAGAACAGAGTTCTCCTTTCAAAGTAGATTGTACGACAGTCAATATTATGTTGATTAGAAAAAAGCCATTGCTCGTACGGTCGGCCGACTTATGATGATCTGAAGCAGCATTCACTGTTGACCTTTCCACTGCTAAGGCGTAATTGAATCCAGTGCACGTAAACTCTTACCTTTTTATGCCAAATTCGTTAGAAAATGGTTGTCTAGTTTGAATGATGATTTCTGAAGTTTCACTTAATTATGTCTGAAGATGATCTTTTCAATGCTTTGTTCAGAGAGGGAATGAAATTTGAGGAGAGTACAAGGGCCCACCACCATCGAAAATGTCAGTTTGAAATAAATAATTATAATCATTATAATAAAATAAAATCACACCTTGATTTTCTGTAGTACAAAACGGATCCATTCGAAATACGTTGCTTAGGCGAACAGATGTTTTCAGTGGTAACATTCTCAAGCCAGTAAAACCATGTCTTTTCACTAACACAATCATGCACGAAGAGAAGTGATAAAAAAATGAGTATTTTAGTTGATCAGGTCATTAGTCGTTTAGTCACTTCTCATCTGTTTGGATTATGTGAAGGGGCTGCATGACAGTGACCAATGTATAAATACCTCGAATACAAACTGCAGTGTATTTGTTGAAATGCATTATGCTACTCCCACTGTGTCAGTAGACAGAGAATGAGAGCTGAAATCCTCAAAGTATTCCGTGCATCTAGTTACCTTTAAATATTTTGAGATTTAATGGGAGAAATAATGTATTTGGTTGTTTGTCAGAGAATACATTTCAGTCACACATGCAAATTTCATCCGTACAGAATTGGTACTATGAATTTGAACGCTAGAAACTGAAAGATTCCCATTGTTATATTGAAATCAAATTTCGGTAGGCTAAACAAGCTGTTTTTCGACAACTCCCTCAACTAGTTATTACAATTATATATGGTTATATATGTTATATGTGTTCGTCGATCTGATTTTGACCGCATGAAACTAAGTACAGAACGTATGCTAAGATCTTTTACCTGATGGACCCCTCGATTAGTGCATTGGTCTTCCGGAGGTGGGGTGGGTTTCTTCATTCGAGGTCACGACAAGGCTAGAGTCCGAACGAACTGCTTTTGGTTGCCTAGGAGGAGGATCCAATGTTCGGATAGCTATCGCCTCGGCTGTGCATAGAATGATAAACCGGAGGCGTTTCGGCAGAGATGATGGTGTGTGATAAATGGTGCGGAAAGCTTGATCAACATTAATAGTGCGCCGCGTCTCCAGTATATGTAGACAGATAGCGCTTTTCGCCGTCCTTGTTTCACCGTGTTTCAACCAGCGTATCCGCGTATGCTCTTTGATAGCTGCCTCGTATTTCGGCCGATGTAGCTCGCTCCACAGGAGCAAGTGAACACGTAGATACAAATGGAAGCGGCTTGAGGGGGCAGTTTATCTCTGAGTTGGAACCGCATTACTGAGGACGCAGTGAAATTCATACGCAGTTCAGCTGTTGTGAATGTTTGACGCGACGTTCGATTGATCTGTCATGGAAGCCACTCAACCGCGTTATCATCTTTGAACGGTAGTTGCAAATAGAATATGGTTTCTTATTGGCTGTGTGCACTACCATCGCCTCAGTATCTCAGTTAAATGTTTGTCTATAAAGCTATTTGGGCAACCGTTTCCCGCGAAGGACGTTTTTGCTGTGTTCAAGTTCTTCTGCCATAGCGTTGGAAGAGCAAAGTTTCAGTGCCTCATAGTTAGGCACTGCACCAAAGTTCTCTTTTGTTTCAATGACACGGAGCTGTTGAAATTCACATATTGTCTCGTCCATGTTGGTTTTCTGAATACTCCCATCGGTATAGTTCCATCTGTGTTTCGGATTAGTAAAACATTCATGACTGGGATTCGATCATGCTTCTTTTTCTCGATAGTGAATTTCATTGAGTTGTGGCTTGCGTTGAATGTCCCCTGCACAAACTCAACGTTAGTTGTTTGGTTTATTATGAAAAATTTATCGTCCACGTATCAAAAGCACCGAATTTGTGGATAATGCCTTGTAAGATCGTACGCTTGATTTTCCCCATGCACATTTCCGCTAACAATGGTCCCAGCGAAGATCCCATTGTGACTCCGTCCGCCTTCTGGGATATTCGACCACTAAACAGGAACTGGACTTCAAAATGGCACCAAAGCAGAAGCTCTCTCAGACTATGAAGGGATATTTCGATTTCCAATTGGTTAGCGGCTATGAAATCACAAAGAAACTCTATGGTCTCTAGAAGTGAGACTTTCGTCAATGGGAAAGTAACATCTAGATGAGATGTTCATGTTTTCGGTCCGTTCGACAAACGAATTCGTCCTTTAGACTGTAGGCAGAGATTCATTGTCTGACGGAGTCTGATAGTCGCACTAACTATTTGGCCGTCGCATGATATGGGGAGTTCGACATATCCAGGATTGGCATTACTGGTAGATCCGATTCGTGTACCTTTAGGAAGCCACATAATCGTGGTATTGATGATCCTTTTGTTTTCAGCAGGTCAGAGGTTGCCATTGTTATGTGCTTTTTTCTTTCAGGGACTTCAAGGACTTTGTAATTTGCTGTTCGATCAGTTCTGTTCTGTCTTTCTTCCACATATCCTCTCGAGATTTACTCCGGTCTTCTAGGATGGCGTTCATTTTCTCTACGTTATAATTTAATAATAACTGAAAAATAATAATTTCATAATTTTATATTTGAACTCACAACCAATGCCTCTGAATATAGGATTTTTCCCAATGTGATTTTGGTTTTTATTTAATTTATCGTGACTTTATCTATATATATATTTGGAGTGGATTGCGCGTAGTGTCAGAACCACTGAGATGGTAAGCGTTTAATCGTTTTCCTTTTAAGCGTTTTCCACCTTTTTGATCTCCCGCGTTTTATCCATCCTTGCTTCATCTGGCTATGGCATGCATTAGAGGGCACTATTCTATAAACCGTTCAAAAGGTGGGAAGAAACTAGGTTGAAGCTGTTAGAGGCCTAACTTTCCCGATGAAATTGTGCATGGCATACAGAGAAAGCGATTTATTGGGGGTGGGAGGGAAGGGGGGAGGGGTGGCGGATGAAATCTTTTGCTGATACACCGGATACGAGATAGTATTTTCAGTCTAACAGGAATGCATCGCTGAGTTGTTCTTCGGTTGATAAAAGAACAAATATGATTATAAAGAGACGCCGTACAGCCATACACCAACACAGTAATGCACTACACTTGGTTGCGAAGAGGCTGGAGAAGCGCTCTCGAGTAAAAATAGTAGATGACGGCCTACATGGCAACTCTCCAATAATCCAGTTAAACTTTATTGTCTTCATGAAGTCGGCTTAGCCTGTCCAGGGAGCCAGCTGACTTGGAAATGAAACAGTAGCTTCCACAGGTGCGTTTTCAAATCTAATAAATATGACCAGTTGTTTGCACCACTTAGGCGGTAAAACTTAATCAGCTATAAAATCAGTAACTACTAACTAAAATGTGTTCTCTGTCTACTGATAGGATAAATCACATGGATATCGCTACATGTTTCGGTCATACTTGAGTGTATTGAACGTAAATGAATTTATTTCTAATGCATGCTTCTCGGTTTCTACATTTTTTTCGTATAGCAAGGCGAAGAAATGCAACTTAAACTTTTGCAAGCGAATGATTACTTTGGTGGTGAGTGTATTCTGTTAACCAAACAGACTATCTCTGTATTTTTCCCTGGTTCGGTAGGTATGATATTTCATTTTTGCAAAATCTGTTGCAAACACTGTTTCAAATGTGTTATTAATCCGCAGAGTTTGATGATATTAATTAATATTCCATGAATTAAACAAGTCCGAAAATTTTTGATGTTTTAGAACGAGAAGGATTTTATTGTTCAGCTCATTTTATAACTTATGACAAGTTATTTCAGTTAAAAAACTTCGTTAAATATATTAATTTTCGGTCGTAAAGTTGAACACTATAGGTTCACCGCCTACTATTGGATTAATATGTATTGGTTACCAGCTATTTTGAGGATTAGCACCTACCTAACAGAGATTGTGGATACAAGATTTATATAATTTTTCTATATAACGATTTAAAAAGTAAGTAAAAACCTACATCATAATTAAGTCAGCTAAACGTTAAGCAGATTTCATCACACATCTGTGAACAGACGTCGGTTAGTAATCTTGTTGTAAGAATTTATGGACACAGCCTGACAATGTTTTGGGACATTGTTACAGCGGATTAAAGAATGAAGAATTGTTACCAGTCTCTACCACCCACCGCCCAAAAGGGCAGTATATAAAATTATTTTGCCACATAAGATAAGAAAAGATTTAACATATATCAGGCATTTTTAACGCGAAATTATAAACCTTACGTTGTTTGCCTGAAAATCATCACTACACTCAAAATACGAAGTAACAAACAAGCTCGTTTTAGGTGCTTTACTATGAGATAAATACGCCACCGCTTTTGAGTCAAAGATGACGACAGACAGTTAAAAATGGATCGGCCATGAATATCCGAAACACGTATATAATATTGTGCTTCTGAGTCTCGCATCCAGCTGACATCTCGGCTATTTCAAGTTTTGTATGAAGGCATAAGACTAAACTTGACAAAGTTCTTGTTCTGTGTGTCCTTTCCCCTGTTCGTGTGAGGACAGCCACTTAAGTCGAATCACGAAAAGTTTATCCGAAAGCATTGGAAAATACTACCTCACTTGAACCACTGAACCACCAAGGACAACAGAAAATAGTCAAAAGGCTATTATAATCCGCTTGTTTTATTCGGGCGTCAACAGAAAACTAAGATTAAGCTATTCCACAGTCACTAAAAACTAGGAGGTCAAAAGAATTCTAAAGCGCACGCATCACTAACCATGCAATGAAATATTTAGCAAAGTCTGAACAGTTCAAAAGAACACAATGAAATGCGCTTTTTTCATTTCATAATCACCCCGATATGCCATCGTATTTATGATCAATTACTATAGGTCGTATTAGTTCGAGAATGGAGAATGGGCTAACCGTGGTCGCAATTACTCTACACTTCGGTAACGGATTTCTTAACAGCCAATGATTAAATATTCTGATACCTTCGAACTGGTTACGTTTCAGAAAATAACCCTTGTTGTGTCACAGTCTTTTGAGCACACATAATGATATGAATAGTTTCCTTCCAATTCCTCAAGATGATCGCATATAGTATTACATTCATTAGACGCATGACTTCAAGTCAAAATACGAAAAAAATGTTTACAGTTCCGACTATTAGTTCTCATACAAATTATTTGAATCTTGTTGTTCTTCTTGTGCCCTTGACAGATTCTGTGAACCACCTTATTCTATGTTTGGACTGTTTATGTTTTATAGTGTAATTCTACAGTTTTAAAAAGTCAAAAGCATAATATGCTATTCCTAATTCAGTGACTTATTTAGATGTTCGCTTGTAAAATGTATTGAAATTCATCGAAATGAAATTTCCAATCTAAAAGCTCGATTAAACCAAACGATCGAGAGAGGCTTGAAAGTCAAGGAGTAAAGTGGCAAATCAAGGCTGTTGGTCGAACAGTAGTATTTAAATGCACTGAGACCAATAAAAACCAGGAATAATATAGGATTTGGATTTGTTGGAGAATACTGCCAGAAGCATTTGGTTTTGAATGTTTTTCGGGGAAATATGACAGAAAAGGTGTAAACATATCAATAAGGGATAAGACAACAATGCATGTGCCAAGGAGAGGGGTCAGCCAAACAGAACGCAAACGAATAGGAATAGTGGCTGATAAGGTAGACAGGCGAGTCAAACTCGATCACGTTAGCATACCCGCATGCCTACGTGTGTGAGAAAGAGGGAGAGGTGGGGAAACAAGGAGAATGAGAGAGTAAATAATTTCCTCAGTATCACAGTTCTTTGGGTCGATCCAATCAATAAACTGGCTGAATTATCTCAGGCATGGCATACCCTGACAAGGCACAAGGAAATTGACAGAAATCAAAGGGTGATAGTCACTGAAACCAACTGCTCCGATTGTGAATCAGCTGTGCAAATGCTGTACGGTCTTTTAGCGGAAATTTCCTACTCAACAGAAGATAAGCAAAAACAAAATAGACAAACTTACAAGTATGCGGCGAAATAAAATAAGCATATTTTGTGTTGGATTTTGTCGTGTACACGTTTTACGACGTGTGAACTGAAAAGCTGGGAAGCACTCCAAAGCTGCTTCAGCGTGGTTAGTCAGTAGTGCGAATTCATCTATCATTTGAAGGTTGAGCCCGGGACTTCAAAAGCAGAACACCAGCATACTGTCTATTTGACCACTGGGAAACTGATCATGTCATTTTCCATTTTGTCTATAAAAGAAATAGCATGGCTGTCTTTGTAAACTTATCATGAAAATCATACTTCGATCTCCTTAGCTTTTCCTGGGTTGTAGTTGGACACATTCCGAGCGTGACTACTTCTTACATGATCCAACAAAATGAACGAAGCATGAACTAAAAAGCTACCAAACATTGCATCAACCTTTTTGTATAAAGCCACTTCACATGGATCGAAGATCGTTTTTGATTTTATCTGCTATGCATGTCCTGCTAGCTCTAGTTATCAAACAAAGTAATACGTTTCCCCTAAATTTTGCACAGGATGCAACAATAAAAATGCATTCATGGTCCATATCCCACGGTTTTACTGCATACTGAACAAGAAAATGAAGCATTTGCAAAATAATTCCATTAAGAAAGCCATTGATATTCATTTACTGTTTAACGAAGATACGAAAACCGAGCTTGATTCACGATGAATCTCAAGAAGAGTAGATATAACGTTCTACGCGGTGCAAACAAAAATAGTAGTCGAATACAAACCGTTTTTCAGTTTTCGATTAAGGGGTAAGCTGCCAGATTTTGTAGCCATTCTGTCTATTTATTTATCGGGGTCTTGTGACGTGATACATTAGTCTCACAACTCGTCAGTTGTGCGATTTGGTTCGCGAAGAACACCTGGGAGCAAAAAGATAATCAAGAGGATGATGGTCGCTTGACGAGTGTAACCCCATAATGGATGTGATGAAAGTGATTCTTCCCATTTACAAATTTCGAAGAAGGCAACCAAGAACATTGAAGTTATGTATCCTTATTACGTCAATATCAAAAGAGGGCAAATGTCGCGAGATGTCAACAGTTCGTCTAATTTTCTCAATCGCTCACTGAAGACACAGGCACATATATAGCACATGGGGTTGCTCAGATATGATGAGGAAACGTGTACAGGCATACAGATGTTACTGAAGATAAAAGTGGAAGGTCAACTCCATGTTAAGTGAACTGGTTGTATCAAAATCTTTTGTGCGCATAAGGTTGGGTGATGTATTTGAGTAAAGAGAGTTTTAATAATTGCCAACAGTTTAGAGTTACCATCACGTAATCGTGATTTGAAAGACGAATGGTGGTCAACTGTGTCTTTTGTCGAAATGCATTGTTTCACAACAGAGAACCCTGGATTTCTCGTGATCATTTGATCATCAGTATTCGGTTGCGTCAAGGATTTCACCAAACACCTTGAAATATGTGACAATCCGTTTGGAGAGCTGACGGTTCGCCCCCAAAATGTTATCATATCGCGATATTTATCTTCTTTCTGTATTGATGTACGGATAAAGGGAACTCAGCGCTTCAAATATCTTAGTTTCATCCAGGGCTGTAATGACTCGTGTTCTTACATTTCTATACTCAGAAGAAAGTTGTGCACTTACTCTCAGTCCCCCAGCCCAATTCATTTTACCCATCAAGTTTGAACTCACGCTAGGATTCCACGTTGTGATCCATTTCACGCACCTCTCAACGGTATTCAGGTCTGAGTGGTTAGGACTGCCGAACCCGTCATAGCACTTCTAGTATTGCTAACCATAATCAACGTTAGGAAGAACTGAAAACTGGCTCGTTCGCTATAATACGTTGTTCACAATGTGTTCCTTGGAACACCTGCATATGTACGCTTATGGAGGAAGCAGATTGCTGGGGGCAGTATCTAGGTGAATAAAGGCTCTACGGTTTTGCGACAATTGACTATATCACTCACTGTCCCTATTCTGCGCATACACTGATCCTCAGTTCTCAGATCTTGATGCTCAATGTGACTTATATGATTGAGCCCGCTGATCAAGGTTTTCAAAGTATCATACTAGTTCTTAATTTGACCACCGTTGGTGGTGCAAAGGAAACGTTTGATAGTTTACAATATTTGGATATAAGGAAGAGGATTAAATTTGGGGACCACAGGAGAATGAACAACTCTCGCACAAAATCCAGCATACAAAGTACACCTGCATGACTATCGAAATTCCGGAAATTTACTCTTGACGTAACTGCTTTGAAGCGTGAGCAATGTACACATTCAGGGGATAGATTGCATTATTCCTCTTAAATGTACAAGGCCTGTCTTGTTTATATCTCTTTGGGTGAAACCTGTAGCGTTGAACACCATTTATCGTAACCGCTGGTCCTTTCATTTTTGCATTCACCGATATCTTTCACTGTCAGTCATCGCGAATTTATTCACACCGAAATTCCGCCTGTTTGTTTTTAATTTCACTTTCATATGATACAACTTAAGATATCCTACTTCCAGTAGTTCACGTAACTTATCGGCTAAGTGTTGGTTGCTTCTGTTCGTGGAACTCGCTAGTCATTGTGCACTTTCTCCTGTAGCCAATTAGTATGATAGGACCGGCGTCA